CTACAATCTTCTTCGAACTACATTGGACTCTCGTGGCCTGCAAAGTCCAGTACTTACCTTTACTACCAATGGCAAAAAAGTTTCTTAAGGGAGAAGGACCAACAGCAAAGTACCTGCCACCTAACAGTTGAAGTGGAGGAACAAAACCGTATCTCAGAGAGGGTTTCTCCTATTCAAAGACTCATTTTCCACCCTTTGAATGGTTGTGTGCCCTCTTAGAGCTATTACTTTTCATGGATTTTGGGGGAATTTTGCCTATCCCAGCTTGACCCTGAAATTTCGGGTAGCACGAATTCCACTGATTCTGATTGGTCGACACGAAACGTGTTGGACAAGATTAATAAACAAGCTCCTATTGATTACCTTACGTGTCTGAATATATTTTCTCAGCTCCATAAGAACTTGGGGTCCACTGTAAGTCATATGCGTTGGTGTGAGTGGATACAGGACACAAATTACTACATCATTGGATACAAGAAAGAGCATACCTTCCCACGGACCGATTAGTCAGTCAGGGTATAAAGAAGAACTAGCTCACTTACACTTGCTGATAAAGACAGATCAAGTACAAAACAGGATATGAATAGGTAAGAAACAAGTGATATGACATTCTTCACACAAGACTGAACCCCTAATTAAACAACAAGACAGGTTGAGACACAAGACAGGACAAATTTCTTTTTTCTTTTTCTTTTTTCAAGCATTAATGAGGTCTTCTTGTATAAGGGACTTCTAACACCGGTGGTGTTGGATATCTTAGGTGAGTTCTTGGCACATTAGTTTCCTCTAGTAGGGATAGCAACAGGTCATTCGGTGGATAAAACCCTAGGAGATGTTAGTTCTAGAGATAGGTTTAAGGTTGGGTTACTTTAATGAAGATTAATTCACATTCCCTATAGCTTAGTTAGAGTTTAGAGAAAGTCCTACACTAGACGGTCAATAGTCATCCCATTCTGATTGGGTGAGACATAAATAGATACCCCTTGTACTATTCGTTGATCTGTAAATTCTTAGACAGTAAGGATGATTAGTCATTCTGGTTGTCTCTAAGACATATCTTGATTTTAATAAAGCATACAAACTGGCGTGGGAATGAGCTATCATTTAAAAAAAAAAAAAAAAAAAGATTTTAAATTTTAATTAATTTATTAATTAAGACTATTATTTATTTATATTTTTTTTTTTGTTAAACCACAACTGGTATTAAATGCAAGCTTTATTAAAAAATTAACTTAATTTGATAGATAATTAAATACTACAGCAGTTATATCAATCATCTCATACAAACCATATATTTCTATATCCATGTAGATTAATAATAATCTATCGTGGTTTATCATAGATAAACCTGCTACCACTTTGTGAGTAGGCAGATCCAGCTAGGGGCCGGATGGTCAAATACACAGTCATCAATGGCAAATCAGGTTAATTTGATAGTGAGCTTTTATAAATTTTTGTATTATATTCATTAAACTAGGCTATTATTGTATGTACCCAATAAGATTTTGAATCATCCTCCAATACTCACAGATTTATTATTCACTCAAACCTCAGAAGGGGGCTCTTTCCTTCTTTATCACCACCTGTGACATCAAATCAGTCCCATGTAACTGATTTTCATTTAAGCAGAGCAACAGATTGGGATATTCTAAGCTAGAGGGCATGAGTCCTGAAGGTTGTCAGAATAGAGGATCATTGGGATGTTTTTATGGTAGGCTAGACCAAAAACCTTTTTTCATGCAATCCTTTTGATAGTACAACCATAGATCTCAGCCCCTGATCGGTGGAAGGCCAAAAGTCCCATCTTCATACAGCCTAACCTGTTTAGAACTTGTTTCAAATAATTGGGTATGACTTTTACAAGATAATTGGTAAAACTTGATCAAAAGGATAATTTTTTGATTTTGATCCTTAAGTGGTATTGAACTATAGATCTTGTGATTGTAATCTGGGAGCACTACCACTGTACTATTGATCCACAGGTCTTTAAGACTATTATTTATAAAGTATTTGTTTTATATTTGTCTAATTAAAAGCTAAAAAAGTTAATATTGAATTCTTAACTTTATTATGATTTGATTTTTATAATAATTTTTATTTATTTAAAGATTTTATATTATATCTATAAAAACATTATTAATTTGTTTAAAATATTTGACTGTAAATAGTTTAGATTGTCAAAAGATTATATTATTAATTTTTTTTATATTTTTTTGATTGTGAAATAATTTCTGTTTGATTTTATTTTTTTCAAAAAATTATTAAAATAATTTTTTAAGAAAATATAAATTAGTTATATATTTTTTATTATATTATAAGCTGATTATCTTTTATAAATAAATAAAAAATTATTATTTAAAATAAACTTCTATATAATAATAAATAGTATATAAGAAAAAAATCAAAATAATAAATAAATAAGTTTTTTAAATAACTAAAAAAAAAAAAATCTCAATCATATACTATTAAAAAAAATCTTAAAAATATGGATTTTTGAAAAAATCAAATTAAAATTTTTTTATTTTTATTCTTGTTATGTACTTATATATTCTTAAATATTATTTTTTTTTAACTTATTTCTTATATAGTTTCTTATTTTTAGTGATTTAATAAAATAATTAATAAAAGACCTATGGGTCAATAGCACAATGGTAATGCTCCCAGGTTGTAATCAAAAGGTATGTAGTTTAATATCACTTAAGGATCAAAAAATCAAAAATTATTCTTCTGATTAGGTTTACAGTTATCCTATGAAAGTTATATTCAATCATTTGGATCCCATCAAATTTAGTTAGGCTGCATGAAGATAGGATCTCTGGTCTTTTGAACGATCAGGAGCTAAAATCAGGTCAAAGCAGGAAAGGTTGTATAAGAAAAGGCTTCTGGTCTAACTCCCATAAAAGCCTATAACCCTCCTGGCATAGCAGACTCCATAGTACAAACTACTCTTTTAACTCAGGATATCCCAATCTGGTGTTCTGCTTAAATGAAAATCAGTCAAATGGGACTGATTTGATGCCATAGGTGGTGACAAAGAAGGTAACGTGCCCCCTTCTAAGGTCTGAGTAAATAATATCTTTGGAAGTATTGAAGGATAAACTAATTCTGTCAGATATATACTATACAGCCTAGTTTGGTGAATATAATAAAATAAAATTTATAAAAAAATCTCACTGCTAGATTAGTCTGTCTTACTGTTAATGACTGTGTATTTGATTATTCAATCTTTAGTTAAGTTTGCCCACTTTCTGAGTGGTAGTAGATCCATCTAGAAATATCACGATAGGTTATTATTAATCAGCATATATATAGAAATATATAGTTTGTATGAGATGATTGATGATAATGTCTAGGATTTTTGAATTCCTGATGTTAAGTAAATTCTTAATAAATGTATTGGCATCTAATATCAGTTGTGATTTAAAAAAATAAAATAAAATAAAATAAAAGCATTAATAATAACAACTTATTGATTATAATATATAGTTTAAAAGAATTTTTTTTCAATGTTATTATAGAATTACAAATTATTTTCAAGATCAAACTTAATAGATTTTTTATATTTACAAGTTAATTAAATTTATATTTAAACATTTGACTCAATATTACTTTTTATATATAAAGAAATATTACAAAACCTCTTGTGTAATGAAAGAACTATCACAAATATACTACAATTTACTTTCTAATTATCTGTTTGGCTCTAATAGTACTTTTTTTTAGTTTTTCTGAAAAATTCTATCAATCTTAACTTGACCTTGAATTTTGAGTAGTACAAAGTTTTTTATGGATAAGTTTATTAATTTAGCAAAAACATGTCTATAAAAGAATATAAATAAGCACCTATTTATCATTATATATGTTCAAATATATTTTTTTATTTCATAAGAACTTAGAATTTATTGTTAGTTATTGTGTCAATATAGATAGATACAGAATATAACATCAATTATTAGTATTTTAATAAGAAGAATTTATCCAATGATGGTAAAAATTATAAGATATTATAATTATTTTTAAAATTACAGTTATCTATTTCTAACTATTAAATAGGTTTTTTTCAACTTCACCAATTAAATAAATATTTGGCTCATCAATTCTTGTGGCAAAGTGGGTTTTCTTGTCAAATATAAATAATAGGTAAATTTTTTTCTTTGAAATAACATGTCTTTCCTAATATATTTGTTAGAGGGACTTAGAAGGATTAACAAATTTTCTTTTCCCATATGTAAATTAGATTAATCTGAGCAAACTTTCCTTGATAACAAACTATTTGATGGATATGGTGATTAAGACAATACAATACAAAAATATTGAAAGCAGATGAGAAAAAAATAATCTATCTTTGACTGAAAAGTTTCTCAAAAAATAATTAGTATATGATATTAAAGTAATAGTAGTGTGTAATCATGGTTATCCTGTAAAATCCTAGTAATGTTTTTATTGATTATTACATTTTCTTGTGTGTGCAAATTTGCTTTAAACCCTTGAAAATTCAATAAACAAGACTGAGTCACCATTTCAAAAAAAAAAAAAAAGTTTGACTGTAATATAGTACATACCATGTTACTCGAATGAATATGTACTTATGTATTTGCAAGTAATTTTTTTTTCAATTTATTCCAACCGCAAATTATGCATAAAATATTTATACTTTTTTCTTTTCTCAATATTAATAAATTATTTCTATATATGATTAATATTAATAAATTATTTTTATATATGATTAATATTAATATTTTAAAAATTCTTGAAAAACTATTAAAAACAATAATTGAAATTTTTTTTATACTTGAATAAAATTTTTAAATAAAGATATGAAAGATACTGTATAATAAATAATTATATCGATAGCTACAATATTTTTGAATATATCAAGTAACATTGGTTTCTAATATTGGCTTGACTTCATTAAAAATTTTTTAAATCAATTGTTTTCGTACAAGTTTATTAACGATCTATGCTGTATCACTTTTTTAGATAAATTTTTCATAGACCATATGTCTAGTAATAGCAAAACAAGAATCGAAAGTAAAGATAATGTTATATTAAATTTTGCAAAAAGTAATAGTTGCTATATTTGATCATCAAAATAACTTTTTCGGTTTTTAACCTCGATAAAATATTTTCAAGTGAATCTTTAAAATAGAAATATTGACGCTAGATTGTTTATTACTGCAATTCTTCATACAACAACGAAATCATTGATATGTCATTTACTGTAATTATAGTCATAAATTTGCCTTTTGTAATATGCGTTTTCAAATCAATTAAATTTATAAAAGCATCACTTTCCCGTCATTATTTCCCCAGTGAATGCATGTCACAAAGATATTTCTAAACTTTCGTGTCACTGCGCTACTACGTTCAAACGTTCAATGAATTTTATGTCCAAAACATTTCGTGATAGAGTTAGAATAATAAAATGTAGGATATTGAATCTTGGTTTCGCTTGTCTCAAGCTCTCCAATATTCTATTGTCGTTTTCATTTCATTTAAGTATTACCTTGTGATGAGGTTTTAGGGTTGCTGTTCGATGTATTATGAATGACAATAATTCCTCCCCTTTTTTTTGTTCAATGGGTTTAATACAATAATCAAAGCAAATTAGAAATTCTGTAGCACATTTTCGTAAAACACTTTACCTCACTGAAATTGCAATTCTGATTAGATCGCTATCCATTTTATTATCTAGGCTAAATTACTCATTACCCTCTTAATACTTTCACCTCTTTCTGTTAATTTTTCAGACTACTTTCCTAATTAACCTTGCCTTTGCTTATGTTTAGGATTCTTCTTACAAAGCACATAAATCGTTCCTTTTCGCCTGACCGTGTAGCAGCCATCGCACAATTTCTTCACCGAAGATCGAACCTTCATTCCGCGAATTCCGATTGATCTAATCGAGGGTGACGGCAATGTTCCGGATCGAATTAATGAATTTTCATGATGGGGTTGAGTAATAGATCTCAGGGGAAGAGAATCTAGATGGAGGAATCTAGAGTATCTTGGACAAACAGATCTGGCAGAAAGAATGACAGAAGCTGTCTTACGGGTGAGGTAGGTTAGAAAAGACATTATCATATATATTTGTGATGGCAAGCGAAATTTTTATTTTATTTGGAATTTGCAGCAAGGGCGAAAGATTTTCTAAATATGCGATCGCCACGGTCCAAAAAAAATTTTTTTATAATGATCGTTTATGATCTGCTGAAGATCATAAGCACGTGATAACAATTTAACGCGAAAAAATAAGATTTTATTAAAAAAAATAGTTACACTTTACTTTGCAAATACACTACATAAAGATCACTAAATATTAAACTATTAGAAGCCACCCTGAGAATGACACTCTGGTGATGTGTTGGGGGTGTAAGTGGGCGTGGCAACACAGGTGGATGTAGGAATAACCGTTCCAGATGCCCCGGTGCAGGTAGAAGTCGCCTCTGTTTTGGTGCAGGTAGAAGTTGTATAATTCGTTTTGGTACAAGTAGAGGTGACATAACTCGTTTTGGTGCAAGTAGAGGTTTCTGTGCAAGTAGTGGTTTTTGTGCAAGTAGAGGTTTCGGTGCAAGTAGAGGTTTCGGTGCAAGTAGAGGTTGTATGATCCGTTTCGGTACAAGTAGATGTGACATAATTTGTTTTGGTGCAAGTAGACGTGGCATGATCCGTTTCGGTACACGTGGATGTGATCCATTTAATGGAAACAGCTGGTTGCGAGCAGTCTCCTCCTTCGCAACGCTTGTTCATTTCGGGTCCTGAATTCTCCTCATTTCGCCTCATGAAAAATGGATGAACAAAGGAGCATTGGAGTAGAACGTAAACGAATAGAACAACCAAAAAATTATTTGCATGCATATTGATTACTTCGTTTGTTTGTTTTTTTTTTGTTTTGTATGATAATTGGAAAAAGGACTTTGAGATGTTCTTATATAGACTTTTTTTTTTTTTTGCAATCTCATTCTCCACGAAAAACCCGAATTTCTTTAAAATCCTCGAAATCATTCTTTTTCACGCTAAAATTAGAACATATTAAACATTAATTCTTCGTTTTCCAATTTAATTTAAGATCAATTCATTTCTGCTATAGTCAAATTATTAGAATATGAGGAGTATGAAAGAACCAATTGGAGTTTTCTAAAATTATAAATTTTTAAAGTTATAGTATCTGATCTGATTCCATGTCCGATCTACTCGAGAACTTGACACTTCAGATGATCAGTTTCATATACTGTATACTGTATCACCTCGCACGTGACGGTGTGACTCGAACGCGTAATTGCACAATACAGACGCGTTGCGAGGGGACACTTACTCGTGTGCATCTTTGAACGTCGCGTAAAAAAAAATTTTTTTTTTTTTTCGCTCAAACAGGTTCACACAATTTTGGTAAAGGATTGTATTCTTTTTTTTTTTTATTCAACAGATAATTTGAACTAAATTATGTATTCAAAAGAGAATCTTTTGGCTATTTACCTTTGATATAAAATATAATATAATCCAAAAAACTATATTTCCTAAAAAAGAATTTCCAAAACTAAAATTGAATTGTATAATGAATCGAGTCGAGTTTCTAACTTTTTTGAATTTATATAAATAAAAAAAAAAAAAATAATAAATTTTTTTCCGCACGATATAAACTATGTACCTGCCAAAGTAAATAAAAATAAATGTCTAGAGATTTTTTTTTTATCTGAAGTGTCTGTGAAGCTACAGAAGAAATACACATGTATAAATATACATATACATATAAATACGTTATATGTATATAATTTTTTTTCTTTTTAATAATGAACACAGTTTAGTCAATCTTATTCGGAATTTAGTGTGATAAAATGTCCCGGTAAAAATTCGGCATATAGTCCACCTCTTCTCCTCCTACTAAGATCGTGATAATATGATTGTATATCATCAAAATTGCCATAATAGAATTTGACGTCTTTGAGTCGACGATGCGTTTGTAATTTTTCGAAATGTTGTCTTCTTGCATTTTCCCCAGGATAAATAGCAAGACACTCGAGGTTGCGGAATTTTAACAATGACCTGAAGAGTAACTGTTTGAATATTAAAAATGGAAAATATTAAATGCAGTTTCAAGACATCTTAACGCAGAAGTAGAGATGGACGACGTACATTCGCATTTGATTCTTGATGATATGTATACAACTCCAGTCTTCTTAATCTTGGACAGCGCAAAGCTAAACGATCCAGTAATGAACTATCGAATCGATATTTATCATATGATTCTGTTTCAGTTATATAAGTGTTACGATCATGAAATGTTAAGACCTCGAGCGTGCCACGGTTACGGTTGGCGAGGGTGAAGAGAAAGGCCGCCGTCATCTGCCAATTATAACGTCTAGAGCAAAACTCCGCCGTAAAGGTGACCAAATTCTTACAGTCCCTGGCTATCTTCACTAGTGATGCCTGGGTCAGGCTTTCACAGTGTATTAAATGAAGTTCTTGCAATTTAGGACAATGATTCGCGATCGCGGTTAATCCAACGTCGGTCAGGTCCTTTACACGATAGAAATGTAGGCGCTTAAGCCCCGAGTTTCTATTGCGAGCCAGAGCCTCGAATGCCAGATCCGTGAATCCACTGCACCACCATAACGTGACAGATTCCAAATTATGACAATATTGAGTGATGGGAAGGAAGCTACTATCTGAAAGACCTTCGCCGAAAGAGAGACTTATCTCTCGCAACTGAGTTTGATTTTGAGCCCACGAAGATATGAACAGTGGAAAATTGTTCCTATTGAAAATTCTCAAACTGAATGCCTCTAATGTGGGGAATAAAGGCGCGATCGATAAAGCTGTTTCATCATTAAACTCCAGGGCGAAGGTGAAATCAAAATTTCGGAGCTTCCTGCAGCCTGTCAACAATATTCGAAGACTTTCGTAATTAATGCTGCGACAGATCAAGGTTTCAAGGTTAGGAAAGGAACTGGCGATTATTTGTGCCAGTTTTTTTGCAAGAATTTCCCATCGAGTCTTCAGCATCACGATCCTCGGGCAATGCTCGCCAATACGCTGGAGAAGATGGGAACACCGATCAGTCTCACCGTTGCCCGGAATTTCGAGATGGGTCAATTTTGGGCACGACCCTTCAGCAATCGGCCGCAATGTTGCATCCAATGCAGGTTGCCAAGAAGCGTCGGTGGAGAAGGAAACCAATTCAGGAAGTGTCCTTAGAAAACTTATTACATTATTTGGCTCGAATGCTCCATGGAGACAATGAAACTCGATGTGCTTTACATTCCGACAACGATTGGCAATATATTTAAGTTCATTGGGTTGATACTTGTCGTGTCGACATCGTGAATGTGGCTTGAATGTAAGTCGTTGAACCATATGACCATATTCGAAAGTCGCATGAGTGGAACGAAGAGATCGAAGCCATCTTTTATACGAATCGTGAGTCTTCCACACCGGTTTTTTCCAAAGGACCCTTACTATCGTCTAATTATAAATGTTGGAACAAAGTATGTGTAAGCACGTGAACGATGGCGTGACCTGTCCCAATTAGTAGTAGCACAAATAAAATTTTGATCAAAAAAAATTCGTCGCATTAAAAAAAAATTCCTCTACGTCGTCAAAATAATCTTTTCATTAAACGATCAGAAAAGACCAACTCGGTTGAACTTTTTCTTTGGTCATCGAACCATTTCGAAGATTATTTTGATTACTCGACTTTCCTTGATGAATATTGACTATCGCTAACTCGAAAGATAATTAATCCTCGTGAACCATCTGGTGGCTTACCATGGCCCATAATGAATTAATTAGAAGGCAGGAAAATAAATCATCTTGATGCGTAAACTCGGAGAAAATGAGGTGAAGAAGTTCACCGGTTAACAAGACAGATTGGGCCGCTTTTGTTCTCATCTTGTTATATACTTCGTCGTGGGTAAAAACGGAGCAGCGAAAGGACCTCCCTTCTACTTTTTTAGTGACCAGAAGTGCTCTTTATATCCTTTTGAGGAAATATGATGTTTCACTGTGTATTTGATATGGACTGGTGATACACACACTGATGATCACTTCTTTATCAACCGAATGACCAATTGTTTTTGCGGTCCAACATGCTTTCCCCCGTGATTCTACGCACCTCGAAAAGTCTTCTTTTCTATGTGCATACTGTATGTACTGTATGTGTGTATCGAGTTTTACAAAAAAAAAAAAAAAACGTAGGAGTCAAATTCCAAATTATAATGTAAATCATGTATGTCTTGTGTTCATATCTATCATCACGCGGTTCGGGAAAATGTGAATTATGATGAGTTTGGGTATCGATTTTAATTTGTAAGAATTGAAAATTTAATGGTTTAATTCATTTCAACAAAACGGCAGTTGTCTATCGAGACTCCCCGATTATAATAACGACGATCCCGATGTGTATATCATTACCATGTTTAATTTGTTTAATTGCACACAGCATATACATTTGTTTAAATGATAATCAAATATATAAATTCTAATTTTATTGTTTTTCTAATATACAATTTAGAATGAATGAATAAATAAATAAACACAGTATATTTACAGTATATGCTATATATATTATTAATTTATTCTTTATATTTAAATTTGTATTTGTAATGGTTATATTATATTAATTATCAAATTAAATGTATATAAAATTTGTATTTTTTAATAATTTTTTTTTTTTTTTGAATTTATTAATTCATTAATTATTTTCAATCAATTTCATTAAAAACTATAGTAGAAAATATATTAGTTGAAATTAAAATAGTTCAAGTTAACATAATTTAATTATATTTATATACGGTATATATATTTTATATAATATATAAACTAATAGTTGAAGACTTATATATTTATTAATTGCTTTACTTCCTTATCTCACAGAAAAGAAAACAAACAAATAATAACTAATTCATAATCAGAAAAAAAAAGTTAATGTCAATTTTATAAAACCCATATTAAGTCAATATAGGTTGACACCTTTTTTAATACTACAAAAAATCTTGAAAGAAATAGATTAGTTTGATAAATTAAATACCAAGTAATTGATGTTAATAAGTTATCAAAATATTTCAAATATAAGTAATAAACTGATCAAAACAAATAAATAATATTTGTACCAAATAATAAACAATAATTTGAGTTCTATTTATATTAAAACAAGATTAGCAAGCTTAATAATAGTTACTAAAATAGTATTAAGAATAAAAATTAATTTATTCATATATAAACTACTATAAATAAAGTAAACCAGATACTTTGAAAAAAAAAAACTCTTTCTATTAATCCCTTGATAATGTATAATATTCATAAAAAAGTTTTATACTTTTTTGCAAATAAAGTCTTATAACTTTTTTTAAAATAATTTGAAAAATAACTTAAAGAATTCTTCCCAATTTTTCAATCTTGTTTATATTCCTTTTCAAACAAAAACTTGACTTTTGATAATTAAGAAAAGTCAAGAAATACTTTATTTATCTATGACAAGAAAGTTCTAAAAGAAAAAAAATCAATAGTGAAGTATTGAAAGCTTTTCTCTTAAAACAAGAGTGCAACTAGAGATTTATGCAATAGATAGATGGACAAACAAAAACCAAACTATAAAACTTTCTTTACTACTGTTTCTACCCTCTTAGAGTCCCTTATTTTTCAGAATTTTTGAGAAATTTTACCTACCCCAACTTGACCCTGAATTTTGAAATAACACAAAATCAATATAGCTTTTGTTAAAAGTGATTGGTCAACACGAAACACATTGGTAATAGAATGTAAACAAGTTTCTACTGGTTATATTATGTGTTTTAATGATATTATTGATAAAAAAAAGAGAAATCATTGATATAAACTTTTTCACTTATTCAAATAAAGTATAACTAAAGCAAAGAAATCATAAGACCATTAGGATAGGTACTAAATTCCTTAGATAGTAAAAAGGTGATTATTTGTTTAAATTAAGACCTTCAATTTCTTATAATCCTAATTAGACAAAGTATACGAAAGAGGTTATTTCCTTATTCTGGTTAGACTATAAAATCAAAAAACAGAGAAATATAAAACATTACCCTTCTGTATAATTAAAAATGCATTTCCTCAAACATTATATAATGATATCATAATTATGATAAATATCAATAAAATTTCTTTAACTAGATATAACTGCTAAAAGATATTGGAAGTTATACAACAAAACTGAAAAGCTATATAAAAATCTGAAATCCATCATTAGTCATTTTATTCTATGTAAGTAGATATAAAATCAAGATCAAAAAAAGAAAGTATTAAACAAGACACTGGATCTGATTAGGTGATAAGTACTTCAGATGGTCACAAGAAAATATTCAAGATTACAGATAGATAAGTTCTTTAGATGGTTAAAAAGAAGAAGAATATTTCAGAAGAATTGATTCCTAATGAAAAGAGGTTTCTAGCAAAGATTCTTTGGAGGACATAAAATACTTTTATTTATTTATTTTCTTTTTATTTTTATATAGTACAATTGTATATTTTTAAATATACCCTTTTCTTTTATTTTCCCTTTTACCTTTTATAGTTTCTCGAAATCAGTTCTTTGGAGGATAATACGTAATAACAACCTGTTAACAATAATATGTAAATTAGGAGAGTATTTATCTAAAATTTACTATAGAGTGAAAGGTCGTACTTAGAGGCTGAAGATCTTTTGAAAATTGAAAACCATTAATAAATGAGTTAACATAAGTTTTAGTTTAACCATAATGAAATTGCTTTATATATTTCTATCAGTTTTTATATTGATTAATAAATATACAGTACTAGCTTAATCATGGGTTTAAAAAAAAAAAAAGTAAAGTAAATATTTTAGATAATAAATGAAAAAGAAAAAGAAATTATTGATATGCTAGTTTAACTAGCAAAAAAGTATAATAAAATAGACAAACTATAGGCTATACTATAAATTGCTTAATAAGAAGATATGACTATCTATAGTAACATAATAACAGTAACTTCAGAAATATATATTATACTGAATAATATTATTGCATAAAGAAAAGGAAAAAGAAGAGAATTTGTCTAATCCTATATAAAAGATATATATATATTATAATATAATTAAGAAAAAGTTAACAAAAACACAATTCAGATAAACTAAAAAAAACTCTTTTTACTAGTTCTCTTTTTTTGATAATTTTTTTGAATAAAGTAAATCAGTTTAAATATACAAGAAAAAACAACATATCCTTTAAACCAAGCTATCAAATACTTTTAATATACATAAAACAAGTTAAAGATGGGTCCCTAAAGGGAGAGGCAGGGACAAAAGTCAAATATCCCTCACTAGGAAATATTAAAAATTTTAAATTAATAACCATAAAAAAACCATCTACAATTGTTTTTTATTATCCAAATTATTGATTTATAGCATTTCCAGATTTTTGTCCCTATAAAAGTGAAGAGTTATGAATTTTGTTCCTCAAAAGAAACATAAGTAATCTGCGAAATTTTATATGCTAAATACTTTAGGAACTATTATTATAACAAGCTATTCTGAAATATTAAAAAAAGAAGTATACACTACTTTACTAATTTTCTTTTATTTCTTTTTTTTAAAAATTTTTTAGAAAAAGAAAAAAGACCTATTAACTAATTCACAGTCAGAAAAAGAAAGCCAAATATCAACTTCACACAATTTATAGTCAGGTCAGTACAGGTTAACATCTTTTTTAACATTGCAAAGAATTCAATAAACAATTAAACTTACTCAATAAATCAAGTTACTTTAGTTACTCAAAAACCTAGAAGGATATCAAAACTTTTTAAAAACAAAACAATTCAAATATATATATATATATAAACAATATAACCATCTCTTACTTTGTTATACAAACACAAACATATAAAAAATAGACAAGCAAAACAAGTATGCATATAAAAGTAACAATCAAAACACATATGTATATATATAATTTATTATCTAAACAAGTTAATCAATTCTTTATATAAATATAAAAACAACTTTCAAAATTAGAATAGGATTG